CTATGTTTAATGATGCAAGACATCATTAAAGAGCTAAGTAGGGTCATTTCTCAGTCTCAGTAAGAGAGCACCAGCAGTGACACAGACTCTACATGGAAAACATAAAGTTCACTCAACCATCATTTAGGATTCAGACATGTAAAGCATTAAACAGTTTGCAGCATCTGAAGTGAACAAAGAGACTTCGTTGATCGTGGCCTTGCCAGAAGGATGTGGTATAACAACAGGGTCATAAAATAATAAAATGGTAATTAATGTCAGACTGTTGACTTGAACACACTGGTCAAATTTGCTTATATATGTGCTAAACCAGCCCAGATACACAATGGTTGCAAAGGAAGATGTGCAAGTTAGACCATTATTAAAAACATATGAGTCCTGGACAAGTGTATAGAATTTGTATGGAAGCAAAACAAAAGGGGAAAGGAACTAGTAACTGTTAATCATGAAAATGATATTCTCATATTCAAACTAATTTGAGATATTTCGATTGGAGGACATTTATCCAGGCAGTCTTACGTCATGGGTAGCCCTCCATTTTGCTGTTACAGCCGTAATCTTGGATCAGGAATGACTGCAAAGTCTTAAATAAAATAATCCATTTATCTACTATTTACGTAAACCCTATTAAAGCTCCACCTGTGTGCATAACAGTTTAGACTGAATTAAACTGAAAGCTATAAACTATATTAAAAGGAATATTTCACCTCTAAAGTTTATCTGATGTTTTAATTTGTTAACATGTGCTCTACCCTTTCACTCTATTATACACTATCAAACTGACAAAAATAAGGATTTTAAAGTTGTTTCAATAAAATCAGGCTACTTACCAAAAACGGCTACAACAAGCCAAAGGACAGACAGGAAGATAAATTTTTGAGCCATTGGAAGAATCAAAAACAACTTTACCACAGGGAGAAAATAAGTTAGTGAAGGCCAGAAGTGGCCGAGTCTGTAGTTCTCTAAATCTTTGAGCTTAAAACTGCCAATTGTTCTCCACTGGCGGTTTTAATCAGCAGCCACGCCTCCTTTAGTGTGCTAAGTGCAGGTCACACCCAGAGACGATGACCAGGAAGCCCACTTTTCAAGCCTTTTATCTACTAATCAATTTTCCATGACTTTATGCCAGCTGGGTTATCTAATTGATATTTTAAAGGCCAGTCCAGACCAACATGGTGCTGATCACAAACATAAGCGCTCTATGAAGTGCAGAGAAAAATGATTCTTTTAGAATTAAAATTACTGTGGACCATTTGGATTTATTGGCAGTTAAAACCAAAGAAAGTGAAGAGAAGGAAGAAATTCACAAAACATTGCCCCAAACCTTTTATTTTCAGAATTTTTATTTGTATTTTTCTATGCCTTATTTACAGCATATATCATAATTAAACCCATACAGAATGAAGATAAATCACAGTTATGGTTAAATTAGGTGCTACAATACTAAAGATTAATGAAATTCAAATATATATATTTTTTGTTTGTACTTATAACCGGGGGGATCTCTTTTCAAGTAAAGTTTGATCCTAGCATACCAAATTATGGAAGCTTCTTTCCAACACTGACCACCAACCCTTGACCTATGAATACCAAAACTTGA